GCTGGGGAAAGGGAGGTCTGGGCCTCCCTTCTGAAGCTGCTGCCCCCGCGACCCGACCCCGGATAGGCGGAAGAAAATGGATGGATGGATGGATGTTTTAGAATTTGAAATTGAAATATTTTCTTACAATTTTCAGGGAAATTGTTTTATCAGCTCATCTCCCAGCAGTCACAACTCAGTGAGGGGCCACTTAAACATAAACAAATTAATGAACTTACCAAGCCATCCAGCACCAGAGTTGGGAAGACACATGTCCGTCTCTGCACTGGGAAGGACAAAGCCAACCACAAACACCTCCACACCATCGGACATGAGTGCCAGGCCAAGGACGAAGAAAAGCTGCCACTGGAATCTACCATGACCGCACTCCTGCATAATTAGCTCATACTGCTGGGCCAGCTCCTCCTCATCTGCCTGCCTCTCATTCTCCAACTCCTTGTGGCTCTTAAGGCTATCAGAAACTGGCTGTCCCAGCGCCACCTGACCATCTCGTGGCTTTCCATCATTGTAGGCAGGTACACCTTGGTACTCTCCCTCGTATATCTCATCTTCGTCATCGTGGCCTTCTGTTGCATCACTAGAAGCCCCGTCTTCATCGTTGGCTGCATTATCAGCATAGTGAGCGTCTGGTTGACTGTAAGAGTTGTAGTCCTCCTCCTCATTCTGGAATCGGTTGTAGCTGCGATGGGTCATGTATTCATCAGAGGCACGATCAACTGCTTTGTTTAAATTTTTGGCAGCTTGCTTCTTGGCTTCCTTAGCAATGTCCTTCGCACCTTTGGCCAAGGAAGTCCTGTTGTTTGGGGCTTCATCCATCTTGGCACAAGTGTTGTTGGCACTAAATGTCTTTTACTCCTGTTCTGTTGCAGTTAGATTGCACTAGGTGAATCAAATTTAAACTGCTGTTTTTACTCCAGGACACAATGAAATGAAAAGCAGTTTGAAGCGCTGTCAAGCCAAGCAACTGCTGAACCAATGACTAAATTATAATGTTGATTCAATGGATTGGGAGAAAGCAGACAGCAGAGACCGTCAGTCCTGTCAGAGCTTCGCCGAGGAAGCCATCAGCCTGTGAGGACAGAAAGAAAGAAGCAGATTTAGCTTGATTTAATGCAATGCATTATGGGGCGCCTTTTGTAAAGTTACACAGTCAAAAATTACCAATATTTTTGTTTTATTTAGCCTTTTGTAAGAAAAAAAGGACAGATTTATTTTTCAAAGTCAGTTTTTCACCATATGATTCATAAATTTATGAATGGCATAGTTTATAAAGTAAATATTT